AAATAGAAAAAAAAAGAATAAATTTAATTGAATGACTTTTGACAATATATATTTTCCAATAAAAGAAATAAATGATTGATTAAACACTCATTGAATATACAAAATTAAATTCTAAAATGAATATATTAATATATAAAAAATGAAATCAATTGAGTCATAATAATTATATATTACGTGTTTAAGTTGTCTATTAAAAATATTATTATATTTATTAAATATAAAATTGAATAATAAATTAATGAATAATAAAACAAATAGCATAAACACAATTTGAATAAAGAGTTTTCATATCATTATAAAGAATGATTAATTGAAACTACATTCTTACAAATATATATTATTTATAATTAAAATTGATAGAAATATACAATGATATCAGGAAAAATATAACATAATGGAAATCAATTTTTAGATAATAACATGATTGAAAACCACGAAAAAAGCAAATAAGAGAAAAATGAAGAGAAAGAAGTGTAGAAAAGAAAAAGCAGGAAGTAGAAGAAGATGAAAAGAATAAAAGTTGAAAATATAAAATGAAAAAGATAAAAAGGAATAATTCAAAAAGAGATAATAAATGATGAAAAGAATGATGAATAAATCATTTTTTTATTGTAGAACTTAGAAATATGTAGTAAAAAATCATTTAATCTATTGATGTAAATTATTTAATAATATTTTATGATAAAAATTATTTTATTCATTTTTATTTTTATGATTTTTATTTATATGTATAATTTATTATTAGTGTTTATTATATAATCAATTATTAATGTTATATGATTAGTATATAATATGTAATAAATAATAATAAATAAGTATTAATTTCATATGATATAGATAGAAGATAGAAAAATTAAATAATAGAGAAATAATAAGAGAAATGAAATGATATAATAATATGGAAAATGTATAAATGAAAAGATAAATAAAATCAATACAATACAAATAAAATAATAATAATAATAATAATAATAATAATAATAATAATAATAATAATAATAATAATAATAATAATAATAATAATAATAATAAATATAAAGAGAAAGAGAAAGAAGATATAAAATATAAAAATATAATAAAAATGAAAATAAGATAAAGAAATGTATTCATATATAATAAATTATATATAAATAAAAATATAATAATATATAAAATAAAATATAAATAATAAGAATATCAAACTAATAAAATATGATAAATATAAAATATATAGATAAAATGATGATATATAATACAATAATAGAAATAAATATAATAATAAAATATATAAATATATAAAAATATAATACATAAATAACATAATAATAATATAATAATAAAAATGTATACTTACATTGAATTAAATATCATTTCTGAATCAATTATATTTCTGAACAATTTACCATAAAATGATATAAAATATAAAGAAATATAAATGAATATAGAATGAATATTTAATTTACTTTTTTATTTTTTATTTTTTTAAGAACAAAATAATAAAAACTATTATTTTATTGATGTAAAATATTTTGTCCTTTTCTTTTTGGGGTTTTTTATTTAGATTCATTATTTCTTTACTTATTTTGGTTCCCGTGAAGAAAGTAGTAACATAAAATATATTACAAGAATTAACAATGAATTAATTAATATCTTCATATTCATCAACAGCAGTAAAATAGAATGTAATTGAGATAGAATTGAAATTGAGATAATAAAATAAATAATAAATACAAATATATTGGTCTTGATAACTCTAAAGATAATCTATATATCAATATAAATGAAATAATGAACAATAAATATAAATGATAAATATTTTAATGAAATAATTAGAAGAATAATGTAATATTATATAAAAATGAAATAATAAATAATATATTAAATAGATAGTATTAAAGAAATGATAATGAATAAAATTAAAAAATAAAATCATAAAATTAAAGAAATAGAAATAAAATAAATAATAAAAGAAATGATTGAAAATAAAAATAAATAATAATAAAAATAAATAAAATAATAACAAACAAATACATTAATAAATTGAAATTAAATAAATGGATATTTAGAAATGGATTAAGTCAAATTTTATATATAAAACTACTATAACCAATACATTGAATTCAATCAATATTAAAAAGAATTCGTTTCTCCATTTAACTAAAATGCAAGATGGAGTAATATTCAATATGTACAGAAAAGATAAAATATTAAAAATGATTAAAATATATCCACTTTGTAAATACATTATATCAACAATAGAATATATTCTATTATCTTGTATTTGTCATAAAAATCATAAATTGAGAAACATGGCCATATTTGTATTATCATATTAAATAAAAAGAAAATATAAATGAAATAATCAATATAAGAAATCAACATATGAGACAGTGTTCTAACAATGATATTATTATGATTTGAATAAACAAATAATATCAAAAAGTGAATGACAATATCATAAAATACCATATATATATATATATATATATATATATATATATATATATATATATATATATATATGTAATAAATAAAAAGAATAAAACATGTCTATTATTTGATATGACTAATGTTGTTGATCACAATATTAATTGAGTATATTTGAATAAAAGAAATAAGTATAAAGAAATGAAGAATATGATAATTAAAATAGATAAATTAAAAGATATCAAAATAATTGCAGTATTAATTTCAATAAATTAATTAATAAATGTAGAAAGTATTAAATTAATTAAAGAATTAAAAATTGAAATTAACATCATAAAAGAAGTTAAAAATAATGTAATTAAAAACATGATTGATGTCATTGAATATTGATTCTACAACAACCAAACATATGTTGTTGAACTACACGAAGAAGACTCTTTGATGGGATTAGTCTCCCCTGAATCAGGAACAATAGACACAAGTTCTATTAATACTTAATTAATTAATTTTATTCTTTATTATTTTTATTACACTTTCTATTTATTCAATTTTTAGTTTCTTATTTAACTTTTTGTTTAACCAGTTTATTGCAAAACCAGTCAATTCAACTAAAACTCTACTTGTTTTCTTGTATTTTTTTCTTTCTTGTTTCATACATAATTTTGAAGTTTCACATCTTTTATTTATTTCTTTATTTGATTATTATCTTTATTTCTTCATTCTTTAAGTTTCTTCTATTGAATCTTTAACTTTCTCTAACTTCATTTTATGCATGGTTGAAATACTTCTTGTCGTGTGTTATCATTTTGCTTTATTATTTAATTCTTCATATTCTACTTTCCCCCTTATTTACTTATTATTTTCTTATTTTTACTTTAGTTTTATTCTTTATTAATATCCCATATTTCTTATGGTGTTATCTTTATTAACACTATATTTACTCATTTTTTCTTATTTATTATTTATTTCTTATTTCTCTTTTTATTCATTTTTTCACTGTACTTCTTTTACCATTATTATTTGTGTTTTATTAGTTTTTCACTCATTCTCTTCTATCTTCTTGCATGGTTATATCTTATTTGATTTTCTTTATAAGAATTAATGACCTTATTCGTATTTAAAAAAAATTATCATTGTAACTGAAATGAAATACAACACACATTTTAGAATAATATAAAAGAATGAAAACAAGCTTTACTTCACTTATAATTGCCAAGTTATTATCGTTATAAATGCTTACTTATATTTGTTATCTTAACACTGACTAGAGTCTGTTGCCTCACTCTATTCTACTTTGACTACTGTTATTTTTTTAAAGAAAGAACTTTTCACATAAATTTGTTTTTATTCTTAATATATTTTATTTGTATTATCAGTTTTATCTTATGAATACCCCCTTTTGATTCGTTATTGTTGAATTCTATAATAAACTTATTTTTTATTGAATATTAAAAAAATTAGACTGTATTGTGTTATTATTAGAAAAAAACAAAAAAATACACTTTAATTCTTCTTAAAATATAATATTTAGTTAAAACTTTGAAATTCTGAATTGGTTGTTGATACAAATAAACATTTTTTTGTTTCTTTAAAGTAATGTTATTAAGAGGATTCATATTAAAATAGTATGAATGTTATTGTTTTTTTGTTAAAAAACCATCTTTTTTTTAATTTATTTATTAGATGAATAAACATTTTTTAAATTTGTTATAAACTTTTTTAATAAATTAAGTTATAAAATACAAAATAAAAAAGAATTAGAAAATAAGTTTATTGATTTTTTATTATGAATTTTATGAAATGACCAAAAAAAAAAAGAAAAATAATAAGATTTTAATGAATTAAAATACTTTAACTACCAAACAACAAAAAACGGCATGTAAAATTAGTTATGTGGAATAATAACAAACACAACTTTAAAAAGGGATTATTTAAAACAATAATGAATGTTTCATATAATTAGTTCTAACGTAAACTTTTTGAGTTTAAACGATCAAAGATATAGGAAATAATGAGATAAAGTCAAGAACAACAAAAGAGAAACTGAAAAAACCATAATATTAATGAAAGGCTTATTACTGTTACTCTGCTTAACAGTTTCATTCGCTTATGAAGATGATGTTTTTGTCGATAGTGTTGATTTTGATGATGTATTTGATGAAGACTTTAACTATGACGAAGATTATGACAACGAATACAATAATGAAGACTTAGAAGATGTTAATGAACTGGAAGATGATTTTGAAGATGATGAAGAGGCAAGAAGGGCAAGAAGACCTTCAAGTAGGTCTTCAAGAAGCTCATCAAGAAGTTCTTCAAGAAGCTCTTCACGTAGTTCTTCAAGAAGCTTTTCTAGGCGCACTAGAGTTGGTGTTGCTAGATCACTTAAAAAGAATGTTAGAAGCGCTAAAGCACAAAAGAGATTTAATAAAGAAAAAAGAAAAGCCAATAAAGAAAAAAGAAAAGCCAATAAAGAAAAAAGAAAAGCATTAAAACAACAAAGAAAAGCCCAAAAAGAAAAGAGAAAATTGGAAAAAGAGAATAAAAAAGCACTGAAAGAACAAAAGAAAGCTAGTCGTCTTGCTAAAAAGGAAGAACGTAAAATAAAGAAAGAAGAGAGAAAAATTAAAAAAGAAAATAGAAAAGCAATAAAAGAAGCCAAAAAAGCACGAAAAGTAGCTAAAAAAGAAGAAAGAAAAACAGAAAAAGAAAAGAGAAAGTTAGAAAAAGAAAAGAGAAAGTTAGAAAAAGAAAAGAGAAAGAATAGTATTGATAAAACTAAGTTAAAGGCTCAAAAGAAAAAAGCTGAAAGAAAACTTATTGCTGAACTTAAAAAATTATCTAAAGCCACTAAAAACGCACCAAAGAAAGTCCTTAAGAAGTTAGCTAAAATTAAAGATAAAAAGTTCATCAAGAAAAATAAAAAGCTTATTCGAAGTATTATCTTTAAATCTGGTGCTAAGATGGCAGCTAAAATGGCAGCTCTTGCCAAGAAAGGAAAGGATATATCAAAAGTTTGGAAAAAGAAATGGGCATCATTCATGGATAAGAAATTATTGAAATACCTTTCTAAGATTAAATGCCCTGAAAAGAGAAGAGAATTTTATGAACTTATGAAGAGAAAATATTGGAAACAATGCTGCAATTGCTCATGTTGTAAACACACAACCCCTCCTCATACTCACTACTACAGCCATTGTAAGAAATGCCAACATGGACATATAAGTTCAGGGTCAGTCTCTGATTCTTTGTCTATCACTGGATCGTCTTCATCAGGTTCCACAACTGGATCATCTTCATCAGGTTCCACAACTGGATCATCTTCATCAGGTTCCACAACTGGATCATCTTCTGGAGCTTCTACAAGCACAAGCATTACTGGATTAGGAGGTAGTGGAAGTGTTGGTACTAGTAGTTCTAGTGTTAGTGTAAATCCTATCTTCAATAATAATATTGGTCCCTATAACATTCCATACACACAAGTCACTCCTAATATCCCAGTCAATCCTATCGTTAATCCAGTCACCCCATCTAATCCAGTTATACAAATTACACCAGTAACTCCAACTACTCCTTCTGAACCAGTAACTCCTACTGTTAATCCAGTAACACCAGTAACTCCTACTGTTAATCCAGTAACTCCTTCTTATTATCCACAACAGCAGCAACAACAACAAATCTTTTCACCACAAATTATTCAAAGCGCTCCTGCTACACAAGCACCAATTATTATCCAAGGTTCCTCTGGTAGTTCAGCAGCAAGTTCAGCATCTAGTGCAGCCTCAAGTGCAAGTTCAGCAGCAAGTAGCATACCATCAATCACTATGCCATCCATTAATATTAACAACGTTAACAATAACAGAAATGGTGGATCAGATTTAGGAGCGGACTCAGATTCAGATTCCTCAAAACCGTCTTCTTCTACAGTTGTAGATCAATCTGGACAACCTATTGTTACTCCAACAGAAGATTATGCCTCTCCAAAAACTGGAGTTTCAGAAACAGCTATTGCTGAAGCTGATGTAGTTGCAAAGGCGGCTGCTGAAGGACAATCTATTGAAGATATTACTGAAGCCCAAAACCAAGCCAATGTTGAGGCTAATTTTGGAATTAATGCACAAACCACAGCTACTTCTTCTGGATTTGCTGAAGTAAAAACTGAAAATAATAATGAAGAAGAGAGTACAAGTAAAACTGTTACAGAAACCGATAATTAAAAAAGTTTTAATTAACTTCATTTAAAATAAAAGTGTTTTATGGTTTAATAAATTTGGTGTTGAAATTTCTTTATTAACAAATAACACATTTATCTTTTGGAATTTCTTCATATTTATTTGAAGAATAATCTTTTCTAATTCGTTCAGGTACAAGGGGGCAAGAAGAAATGTTAGTACAAATAACAGATTGACATCCAATAATATTGATTATTGTAAGAGTTTGTGGGAATCTAAGATTCATATTATTTGACATACTTAACTCAAAAGATTGAATACTACTTTCTTCAAGATTAATAAATGATACATTATTAAGACCAATACCAATAACTGTATGAACACTCTTTCCTAAAATAACTTTTGAATTTGAAATATCTTCTAATTGAACACAATAAGAATCAACTGTAAGTTCATGTTCATTAATTCTTCTTATTTGAATCTTTTCAGATGCCTTAAAAGAACCGTCGTAGTCTACAGTTAATTCAGAAGTAAAAGGTAAAGGAATATTAATAATATTTGGACAATTATTAATAACAATATTTTTTAAAGATTTTGGTAATGAAATTGATTGTAGTAGTGGTAAATTTACTAAAATAACAACTTCTGCTTCTTTTATTGAAAGAGTTTTTAGTGTTGAGCAATTATAAAAACGAGCTCCTTTACAAGTATTGATATTAATACTTTCTACATCAACTTCATTTAATGAAATATCTATCATTGAGTTAAGAATTTGTGAATTACAATCAAATTTACATTTTTCTAAACGTAATGATCCACTACCTTTTGTATAAAATTGAGGAAGAATAGAATTGTTATCAATATCAAATGACTCTAAATTATTTATTGTTGTTTTTATAATATTAGTATGGATGAGTTGTAAGGAAGTAACACACTCAGCATCAACTTCTGATAATTGAGAGTTGTTTACTAATTTTAATTCTTTACATGAGTGTGCTATTAATTTATTTATTCCATTAAATGATGAAATATGAATAACTTTTGCATTATGCGCATTATAGTCAATAAGAGTATTAACTTGAGAAGAGGTAGAAGCAGTACATCCAGTAATAAAAATTGAATCACAATCAATATCTAAATTTGAAACAAAATAACATCCATTTAATGTAATAGATTTAGCTTTAACAAAGATTTTCTTTGCAAAAGTACATTGAAAAAATATAATAGAATTAACATTTAATTCAGGAAAATCAACAATAAAACAAGAATTAATTGTTAATTCTTTCAAATACTGAGGGAATTCTAATTGATTTAATTGTTTAATAGAAGGAAGAGAAAGACATTGAATGTTAGGTGGAAAAGATTTAATTGGTAGAGAAGAATTATTTAATTTTAATGAATAAAGAGAGTCAGGAAGCTGTAATGTTTGTAATGATTTAAGATAAATTGCTTCGCATTCAATAACTGGAGAGGTTATAATTAATGTTTTTAAATCAGCACATTGTTCAATAATTACTTTCTTTAAATTAATTTGACTTAATTGAAGAGAGGTAACAGAACAATTTGTAATTGTTAATTCTTCTAATAAACTTGGAAGTTCAATAATTGGACAATTAAGGTCTTGAAGAATTAATTTCTTAACAGAAAGTGAGATAGAGAAATTTGATGGTTCTGCTGGTTCTTCTGGATTAATAAAATCGATAATTCTAATATTTTCAACTGCATATTGATTTGCTTTTTCAATAAATGGTTTAAGGTCTTGCATATGCATAGTGATAAATTCATTTTTGAATCCAAAAACCCATTCATCATTACGATATAAAGTAATAATTGGACCGTTATGTACTTCTAACAAACAACTTTTAGGTAATTTTTGTTTTGGAAGGTTATTCATTACATTGTCTAATTGTGAAATATCACAAATAATTCTTACAACACAATTTGGAAGATTTATTGTTTGTTGAAATGGGTATGGGTTTTGAGACATTTTTGAGCCATTTAATTCTTCAATACAATTAATTATAAGTGATTGTAATGGCATTAATTTCCAGGTATTTTTATTAAATTCAGAAATATCCATTGTAATTTTCTCAATTCTTTTAGCAGCTTGTAATAATGAACATCTTGAATATAAATTATCTGTTTGATGAATAATTAATTTTGATTTGTTTAATGGAATGCATGTGTAATCACACGTAACAGTTGTGGCATTACTAAATATTTCTATTTCTTTTTTTACATCTTTTTCTTTGTAAAATGGTGTAGTAGTTAAAGATAGAACTCCTTGTTGATATCTTTTATTAACCTGTATTAAATTAATAGCATCTTTAATGGAATTAAGGTGTTTAGTGATAGACACAATACAGTTGTTTTCCATTGATTGAAGAATTCTTTAACTAAAAGGGTATTTGATCTTCAACCACTCAACTGCCACCTCTTGATGTCGTGTTTTTTATTAATTTAAATAATTTATAATAAAATTAACTATATTTATAATAATTTACTAAAAAAAAAACAAAAAAAAAAGGAATAGAATTGAAAGACTCATTTTTATAATTATGCAAGAACATAAAGAAAAAATTACTTCAACAGATGAACATCTTTACAAACCTAAACTTTCAAAAAGAAACGAACCAAAGAAAGAAACAGAAAATAAAAAAGCACTTGTTAAACCTAAACGTTCAAGACCTCTTAAACATGTTGTTGGAAGCCAAGAAGTCTTACCAACATTACATGTTGTTAAAGGATTAAGTGTTATTCGATTTGTAGCAGGAGAAAAAATTATTTCAGGTGGAACAAAAGAACATGCAGATATACTAAAGAAATATTGTTTAATGGGACTAAATCAAATATTGAGAGCTATAAAAAAAGATGAGGTTTCAATTGTTCTTATTTTGAGATATAAACATATGAATAGTGAAACAACTGAGAGTGTTGATGTCTTGAGTGACGTACTAAAAACTTGTTCAATTACTAAATCATTTAAATTATATTATGATATTGTTTCACAATCAACAATTCGTTCTTTGTTCCAAATAAATTTTAATCCACGAGTTATTGGAATTAAAAAGACTTATTTAGATAATTCTTCATTAAAAGATTTGTTGTCACAATGTGAATGTAATTGATTGTTTGGTTATTCGTATCTTTTAATTATAATTTTTGTCAACCCAATAATGAGGTATTTAACAACAATTAATTGTTGACATACGTTAATATGTTTAACAAGTTAATGAACATAATCATTAAAGTTAAATAAAAACAGTTAGAACTTCTATGACATTAAAGTGTTTAATGTTGAAAATTGTGAGGTCTAATGATATCATTGTTTGTGGTAAATTTCAAATAAGTATTAAAGTTATGGCAACTGTTCCTTAAAGAAAAAGCAGAGTAAAAGTTCAAAATGAATGAAACTTGTTTTGAATTGCTTTTCTCTTAGATTATGGAGTTAAATAGAATTGTTGTAAGGAAAATAAAGATATGAAAATCTATATTTTTCACAAATAAATATCTTTTAATTGTACAAAAATAGCAATTTTTTTTAAAGTTACTATGAAAAAGAACAAGTTATTTGTTGGAAAATAAGTGGAGAAGTTTTATATCATAAAAAAGTGAACATGACAGAATTTTTCATGAAATAAAAATTTCCTATTTATAAACTCTCTTTTGTGTTCTAATTTAAATTAATTCTAAAATGATTCTATCTCCATTTGAAAACATACAGAAAACAGGTAGAAACACATTGAATGGAAGGTGTTTTTATTAATTGTTAAATTTTAATGGTAAAGAAAATTTTTAATATTTTATTTTAATTATAGTATATTTATAAACAAAAGTAATTGATTAAAGAACAGGAGAGGATTTTATTTTGAGGATAAATAGTTAAAGTTTAACTATAGATTCAATTCATTAAAATTATTGACTGTTCATTTTATATTAAAGTTCATTGTAATGGTATTCT